CGTCGCGCTTCGCTGGCTGCCCATGAATGAGCTGAAAGTGCAAGGACTCGAGCACCGTCTGCTCTCAATTAAAAAACAACGACAACAACAAGAACAACCAAAAACCATAATTGAGCGGCATTTGATGGGGACGGGATTATGCATAGCTGAGGATGGGCACACATAATAGTCCGGTACGGACTCGAGTATAGGATAACAATTATTTAAAGGATTTGAGCAGAACGGAAGCTAACGCTGCACCGTACTTAACTTGTGTCTTTTTTTTTTTTTAGTCTGCCCATTCTCGGCCCTTTGCCATTTGCCATTTGCCATTTCTGCAGATACTTCCGTCTCGGAAGTGTCTTGACCTGAAGTCGCACTCATCCTCTGCCCTTTGCCCTTGCCCTGTGCCTGCGCCCGTTTCTATCTCTTTTTTGGCCATTATCTCGGCGGGCAAGTGTCTATCTGTTTGTGCACTTTGCATATGAAAACAAACAAGTGAACGGCTGCATATATATATATATATATTGCTGTCTTTATGTAGCCCAAGAACTGTCTAGCATTCGGTCCGGTTAGTCTTTTGCTTTTGTGTCCTGTCAAGCGGCACACGTGTAATCCTTGGTCACTTCGTAAACACTGGACATCGCCTCTGTGCCGCTTCCTCTGCCTCAGCCCGAACCACTCTCCTTCCTCTTCAGCTGCTGCCTGGCTCTAACTGCTTCCTCATTAGCCTGCAAGCTGTGCACTTCAGCTGAATTGGCTTGAATTGGCTTATGGAACCAAAATACAACTAAGCACACAAAAAAATTCATAATCATTTTTAAGTCCCACTCTCTCTCTCACTCTCTCTCTCTGGGACATGTGCAATCCTTTGTTTCGTAACTTTGAGTTAAATCCATTTCCGTTGCGAACATTTTGCTGCATACTGCACATAGCATCAACTCTATGCTACTTTTAAGGATTTACTATAGGATACCCAGAATTATGATTAAACGATCCTTAACCTTAGATATTTGGCCTTTTCTTATTAAAAAAACTAATAAGTTTATTTATAGAGTCCTTAATGATTTATCCTTCTGTTATAAATAAGTCTTCCAAAAGAATCCCACGTCTATCTGTATGAACGCATCGATCTCGGTGACTATAGAAGCTAGAAAAATGTGAAGTTTATTGCAAATCGATCGAAATCGATAAATATCGATTTTCAGATTAGTCTTTTTGCCATATCTTGAAACTTATACGATCTACAGATGCCACATCTTGGATGTATGTCCCGTTAAAATATATAAACTTTTTTGAATACATTATTATTGGTATCCTATATTATTCCTATATATTTGTATGGAGCTTTCATATCAATAACTTTTAACTAACTTATGCCTTAAGCATTAATCAACTCATTTGCATCAGGTACGGCTGTTGTTGAGGGTAGCACCTCTATCCAAGCCGGGGCCTGTTGGCATAGAAAGTCAACCCATTCCAATGACTTGGCTGTGGGATATAATAAAAAATTGTCAAACTATTAGGCGAATGCCGCTAACAAAAGCCAAGGAGTTAAAATGAATTCCGCGAACTTTGACCAGCACCCGCACCCGCAGCCGTACCCGAACTGGGAATAGGAACAGAACCAAATAACCAAAAACCCCTTTTAGTCAATTAGTCGCTGATTTTCTTTGTGACGTTTGGCTGATTTTTTCATATTTTTGTTTTTGGGTTTTTGGGTGGCATAATAAAAAGGCATTCACAATGAAAAGGACGCAAGGCGAACCCTTTGCTTTATCGACAGTACCAGGCAGCGGTAACCCTACGCAGTATGGTAAAAAATAAAAGACGCTGCCATCCATTTGACCTGTGCGTGTTCATTTTTTTTTTTTTCCGCCGAAGCGTCCATTATGCAATAAAAAAACGTTTCCAAGTTCTGTTTTGGGCAATAGAGGCTAATGCTTAAAGGAATATGTATAGCAACCCGTTCGGAGCGCCTTACCTGGCCATTTTCTTGTACATATTTTTATTACAGTTCGCATAAAAAACACGCTCAAGGCCAAGGCACGGGTAAAGGATTGCACAAATATTGCATCTTTGTTGGCCCGGCCAAAAAACGGCGGCCAGCTCATTATATTATCACTTCTTTATGGCATCTGCCAGTTTTTTACGGTGCGGCCGGCCACGGTACGGCCGGGTAGAGCCCGGTACGGTTAAATTTTTTTCTCTGAATCTGGTTTTTAATGCGAAATTGGCAACTCTTTGGCAACGGACGCGACTTTTTATGGCCACCAGGTAAATGGCCAACTCAATGAGCAATTATTCCTCTCGTTTCTCGGTGTGTGACTGTGGGTGTGCATATGCCTATCTCTGTCGGTGTGTGTGTGTGTGTGTGTGTGTGTTAGTTTAATCCACCATTTTTACGGTTGGATTAACATTGGATTAGCATAAGCTCGCGGTTTTTTTAAAGAGCTAATTAAGAGGCAAGTTGTTTCCTTCGCTCCTTTTTTTTAATGGGACACTAAAAAGTGAATGAGCTATGACAGAAGGTGCATAAGCTACATACATACATACATATGTATATGGCAAATGAGGCGCTGGGCATAGGTACGTTGGATAGGATGATCGGCAAATAATAGATAATTAAAAACAGAGCTAGAGTTTGGCATCTAATCAAGTCGAGTTTTGGCACAAAATGCTGCACAAACCAATTTCCCAAAATTATATGATTTTCATATATATATGTATATATATTTTTTTTATAACCGTATTTTATTTACACACACACACTTGAGGCTGGCCACTTCCGCTTGTCGCGACATTTGTATATTTTCAATTATTTTTAATCGCCGCGCCGTTACAAGGGCCAAACAGTTAAGTAAAGTTAAACAAAGGCTTAGGCGCTGCCATTGCCGCTATCCCACGCTCTGGAGAGCCGAGAGGATGTGTGTGCCTGGGTCGGCACCGGTGCCGGGTGCCGGGTGCCGGGTGCCGCTTGGGTAAACATGTGCCTCGGACAATGGCGGCGGCACTTGTTGTCAATCAAAACTGGCAGCGAGCACGGCAATTGGCGAAACCAAAAAAAACGAAAAACAGAAAGAAAAAAACCCTTGACCATGGCCTTGGCGCGAGCTGCAGGCTTTCCAGGAAGGCTTTTTGGCTCGCAGCAGGAAAGCCGCCAGCAAATGGAACGTCGAGTGCCGAATGCCTGGTTAAAAGGATGCGCTAACCCGCGAAAGGCTCGCCAGCCCAATTTCCATAATTTGTCACACACACTGAATATTTACTATGGCCAAGTCTGGGCTGGTCGGCAAAAGGATTTCGCAGACAAATGCGCAAAACAAACGGATTTAACTATTCGTAACCCTTGGCCTCTCCCACTCCCACTCTCTCTCTCCCTCTCTCCCTCTCTCGCTCTCTCTCCCTCTCTATCCCTATATGCGCAGCTCGTTTGCATACTCTTTCTTAACCTAACTACTGCCCGCTGTGGCAGCATCGTCTAAGCCAGCAACATAATTTACCCTAATTGCTTGTAGATTTACTCCTAATGTCGCGCCTCGTCTAGCTTCAACTAGCTCCACAATTGTGCAAACAACTTTTTCAACACTAGTTTTAGCGTTTCCTAACCTAAAAGTGCGTCTTTTGAAGCAAACCAAAACTACCAAAACTTATGTTTGATTAAAAACACAAAAGAATGGCACAAACTGTTATTTCTTTCATGCCAAACTTAAGTCTCTTTAATATAATTCTGCACTTTCGAACACTCAAAACTTCAATTTAACCTCAAAATAAACAAAAATTTGATCTTTACTTAATATACTTATATTTGCAATAAGTTCGCTTTTATTTGCTTGCTCAGACCTTTAGCCGAAGGTTTCACTTTCGAAATTATATTATGATAGTTTTTAACTAAAGAAAATCAAAAGTGTTGCCCTTATTTTGTAAGTTACAAAATCTATTAAATATTTGGCTATTTATGACTATATAATACTATATTTATTTATTACTATATAATAATATATTGTATATTGCAAAACTTATTTCTTTAATATTTCTCTGCTCCAATTTTGGAATTATTACAAAATAGAAGAAATTATAACCAAGTTGCCTTTTGCAGTTATTGGTTTAGTTATTTTTGTACTAAGTACTAAAAACTCGAATCTATCAAATGAAAACTTATTATTTTAAGATTATTATTATTAAAATCTTTTAACTTCCAACTCACTAAACCCTAATAAAATAATATGCCATGCCATAATAAACTATATATACATATATATTTATATATATAGTTTTTTTTTCAAATTTTCAAGCTCTGAAAAATCCAAGCATTCAAAAACAAAAACTAACCTTTTTTGCCTTAAAAGAAATAAGAATAGAAAAGCAACTTGCAAGAAATCGTAATACGCGAAAAAACAATGCAAGCAAAATAAAAACAACAATTTTTCGCGATAACTGCATAAAACTAATGCAAACAAAAAGAGACGACAAATATTGAATATACATATATGTATGTGTGTATGTATGTATATTGAATATATATGTACATATGTATGCATGTGAACAGAAGAAACTCGAAAAAAGGGTCAAGCGAAAGCAAACCTCAACAACCCTCGTAAAACCCTTTGAGGCTGAGCGCAAGAGAGCGCGAGTGCGTAACTGAGAGAGTGCGAGAGTGGTAGAGTGAGTAGGACGAAGTGAGAGCAAGCGAGCGAGCGAGCGAGTGAGTGAGTGAGTGTGAGTGTGTGTGTGTGCGACTCACCCCTTTGCCTTTGCGCTCGCCACTGTTGCTGTGTGTTATGGCTACCTGCGCCAGCCGCCATTTTCTTGCTGAGCGGGGTGCGAGTGCAACGGTAAATGAATGAAGCGAACGGGCCGCTGCGTCGGCGTATATAAGGCGGCCGGAATGTCAACTCGAAATCAGTTAACGTTCGACAACGTCAGCGCACAGACGGACACAGCAACAACAACGACAGCAACAACAACGAAAACGAAAACGACAACAACTACTTTGAGCAACGTTTTGGATTAGCAGCAACATGTTGATGCACGAGAAACTATTGACTGGGCAGTTCTTTGATTTGAAGACTGGTAAGTGTAGCCACGCCCACACAACAAATGCCTCTGACACGCCTCTTTAACACGCTGCCTCCCTCTCTCTATCTCTCTCTCTCTCTATCTATAGATCGCAAGCCCCTGCTGCATCATCATCATCATCATCATCATCTGCAGCAATATCAGCTGCCGCACAGCCAATTGCAACAGCCGCATCACCTACACCACCACCAACAACAACAACAACAACAGCAGCAGCAACAACAGCAACAGCAGCAGCAGCAGCCTTCGCACTTGGCGCTGCCCAAAATGGATTTGTATGCCGCCTACGCCTATCAGCAACAGTTGCTGTCGCTCAGCCAGCAACAGCAGCAGCCAGTTGCTGTTGCCGCCGAGGTGCTGGATTTGTCGCGTCGCTGCGACAGCGTGGAGACGCCACGGAAAACACCCTCACCCTATCAGACAAATTATAGCTACGGCAGCGGCTCGCCAGCCGCCTCGCCCACAGCCATACCCAGCAATCTGCTCTACTCCGCACAGGCAGCCGCCGCCGCCGCCCAACAGCAGCAGCAGCAGCATCATCAACTGGCCACGCTTTATCCGGCGCTTTATTACGGCGGCGGCAACAGCATTAAGCAGGAGCCAAGTCCAGCTGCCAAGACGGGCAACAGCAGCGCCACCGCCACCGCCACCGCGAGCCTGTTGCAGACATTTGCCGCTGCCTCGGCGGCAGCTGCTGCTGCTGCTGCCGTCTCTGCCAGCGCTGCGGAGCAGTCGTCGCGGCCGGCCAGCAATGCCAGCACCATGCAGATCGATGTGCTCGAGGCGCCGCAGTCTCCGCCAGCGCCAGCAGCCGCCAGCGACAGTCAGCCACATCATGGCAGATGCAACAACAACAACAGCAGCAGCAGCGCCACGACCACGCCCACCAGCAGCACAGCAACACTGGCGACGACAGATGCCAGCAAAACGACGCGTCCGTTTAAGGCATTTCCCCGCGATCCGCTGGTGATAGCTGCCAATTTTGCGGCCACCGATGTGCTGCTGGATAATCCGCGCGTGGAGCGCTACACGGAGTATCGGAAGCGTGTGCTCGAGCAGATACGCAGCTCGAATGGGGGCGCACGGACCGTAACCAATCCGAAAATGCGACGCACCAATTCGCGCAGCGGCAGCGTCAACGAGGGCAGCAGCTCGAACAACAATAGCGAGAGCGAGGATCGTGCCGCCGCCGAGGAGTCCAGCGATTGTGATTCGCATGCGGGCAACTTTGAGAAGCTATCGGGCACAGGCAACGCCTCCAGCAGATCTGCATCGGGCGCTGCCGCGGCAGCCGCTGCTGCTGGCGTTGGCCAGGTGAAGGATGCCGCCTACTATGAGCGTCGGCGCAAAAACAATGCGGCGGCCAAGAAGTCGCGCGATCGACGACGCATCAAGGAGGACGAGATCGCCATCCGGGCGGCCTATCTGGAGCGACAGAATATTGAGCTGTTGTGCCAGATTGATGCGCTCAAGGCGCAGCTGGCCGCGTTTACCGCCAAAATGGCTGTTTAGGCAGCGATAACACGATTATGCCTGTTATCAATAGATATCGATAACAAATCGATTGCCAATCGCTGCTTGTTGCGTTGAACGCGTGCGAGTCTCAGTTCCGTTTGGTTTCCACACAAAACACTATTTAAGCTTTTTTTCGGTTTAACTTTTCTTTTGATTTTTTTTTTTTTTTTTTTGTTCAAGGAGGGGCAGCTTATCTGTGAATACTTTCATTCGGTTTCTTCTATGCCACACACCCACACACACACACACACATACTCATACTCATATACTGCAGGGCCTTTTACCATCTGCAGATGTTTGATTTAAGTACTATTTTTTTTTTTTAATTGCCTCAATTCAAGTATTTTAAGTACTTTAAGTTCTTGGGCTTTTAGCGCAAAATCTCACCAGTTATAATTAATATAAAAAATATCTAATAATTCGACTGTATAGTACAAGGTTATTTTTTAAGCGACATTTTTTTCATATCTCTAAGTAATAAAATATCTTTTTAAAAATAACGCTTCCAGTTTTTACAATTTGTCGGGCTGCGCTTTCATAGCATGCAACTTTTGTCACATCACACATATATAGCGGGAAAATATAATCTTAAATTGTTTAAATATCCATAACTCGGTTAATCGAAGTCCGATCTTGGACAGATATAGAACTCTGGACTCGTAAAACTCTATAGAATTGATTAGAACCCGAGATATTCGAGCTATACAATTTTTTCAAAAATTTCAAATATTCATAACTCGGTTAATGGAAGTCCGATCTTGAAAAAATATGATATTCTGGACACGTGAAACGCCATAGAACTGATTAGAATCGACAATTTTTGATTTCAGAACAAGCCCGATTTTTGCGAAAATTGTGATGTAACCCCTTGCAATATTTCTTAAATTTGATAAAACTCTAGACATGGATTTGCAGAATGCCAGTCGGTAGTCGTTCTCCGTACGAGTTCGAAGAGGTATATCATTCCGAAATCGGACTTTATTTACCCGAGATATTTAAGTTTTAAAAAAAATTCGAAAAATTTCCAATGTCCATAACTCGGTTAATCGAAGTCCGATCTTGAAAAAATATGGCATTCTGGACACGTGAAACGCCATAGAACAATTTTTGATTTCAAAATAAGCCCGATTTTTGCGAAAATTGTGATGTTACCCCTTCCAATATTTCTTAAATTTGATGAAACTCTAGACTTGGATTTTTAGAATGCCAATCTAAAGTCGTCTTCCGTACGAATTCAAAAAGTTCTAATTCTAATAAATCGGCTCAAAATATCGATCTAGAAAATCGGAATCAATAAGATGCGCTCCAGTTGGGACGTGGCGCCATCTGTTGGACGAAACACAGCATGTGCAAGTGGTTGCGTGGCAAGCAGCTTTTGTTTAGCTGCAAAGCGTTAAGCGGGGGAATCACAAAACTCGTGCAATTTTTATTTTATATTTTTATCAGTTTTTATTTTCAATTTTTTTTTGTTTTCTTTTTTTGTTGCTTTTGTTTTTACAGTTTTGTTGTGTTTTTTTGTTTGTTTTGCGTTCGTTTTTGTTTTTCATTAATACTAAGTGTACGCATTAAAGGTAATATATGTGTTAATTGTTAATTCAATCATTAATCGTAGGCTTACTAAAAATTGTAATTGGTTTTTTTTCATTTTTTCATTATTTTAATGTTGCTTTTCTCATAATGTTGCATTTGTTGAATTATATATATGTATATATATATATATATATATATGTAATTACGACTACAGGCTACATACAGCCCAGGCAGGGCTAAATGAACAACAGCTTCACTTTTGCTTTAGTTGATCGTCTTCCATGTTGCTTTTGTGGTTTCTCATTTAATTGTGTTATGATTAGTTTAGTTTAGTTTTAGTAGGTTTTAATGTTTAGTATGTGTGGTTCCGTTTCGCATTAGATATTAGTATTATGTTTTCGCTTTGTATAAGGCTAAGTCGTTTGCTTAACTGATCTTTTCTTTCATTTGTGTTTTTCATTTAATATATTACATGGATTTACTTAGCGCTCCCTCAAGTTATTTAACAAAGTGTTAACAATTAATTGCTAAAATGCCAGCGCCTGGATTAAGGCTACAATTTAATAAAGTTTCATGTTAGGGATCCATATGTGGGCGGAGGGGGTACGTTAAAATATAATCATTATGCATATGTATATGTATATGTATATACGGTATCATTCATATATATATATATATGTATATAGTAAGGAAAACTGTTTTCATTTATTTGCTTTTGTTCTTGTATCTTTATTTTTTTTTTTTTAATTATTATATATATATTCCTTTTATTGATATTTTTCTTTCATTTTCAACTAAATGCTAAAAATTAATTATACAAAAAAAAAGTTATATTGTAATATATATATATATATATACGTGTGTACATATATATATTCATATATAGATAATAGATAGTGTGTATAGTTAAAAAAAAGCTAATTTACACAAATATAAGTGACATCTTGTGGTTGATTGGATTTGGGGGGGGGGGGGATAACAACATAGGTATAGGGGCGAAGAGGAGGGGCGGGCAGAGGGGGGGTGGGGCGGGGTTCATCGGGTATTTGTGAGTGTTGTTATATAACTTGTATGTGTAAAACTTTTATGTATAGTATAAGTATGCATTATAATAACTTTAATATAACTCTCTCTCTCACACACACACACACGCACACGCACACACACACGCTCTCGCGCTCGCACACAGACACACATTTATATTTATTAACTGTCGGCCGTAATATATATACAAAACAAACACAAGGATTTTATGCAAAAGAAAAAGAAAAGAAAAAAGTCTTTGTAGAAGACAACACACAAACAAAGCAGAGCCAAGTACAGTGCACTCAAAACATGTGTACAACACACACGCCCAACTCTCGTGGAAGCCAATGTTGAATGGTTACACAACACTAAAAACTAAGTTGTACAATTTTAAAATGTTCAGTAAACATCATGGTTTTGCATTTGAACAATGCCAACGGAGCGACAAAGCGCAGCCTTATTTATTACCTTAAGTGTTTGCGTCGATTTTCTTCAGTTCTATTTTTTGGTTTTATATTTAAATTTTTTGTTTTTTTTTTTTTTCTTTTCTTTTTTTGTCATTAAGCCACACTGGTTGGAAATAGTTCGACGAACTAAATTGCAAAACGTTATTATTAATAATGGAGCATTTGTGGTCTGATTGGTCTGACAATGAGTTGTGCCTCCATATACATATAGACTCGCGCATACCATCGTCTACCTACATATATCCTATATACATACATATACTAGTCACATTTAACTGAAGATCGCATTGGAAGTACATCGTTACGATATTTATTAAAAACAAAAAGACGCCGTGGCTTTTTGATGCTACTTTAATGCCGGAGCCCTAATGTCAAGTGTAGAAAAATAAATATTTGCTTTTCTTCTCTGCCGCTAGCATGATTTTTTGTTTCTCTCTATATATATATATGTATATATATATATATCTGTGTATATATAAATTGATATTATGGATTCGAGTTGTAGTTTAGCTAAGACAATAAAAACTCCATATATCTCAACGATTTGGGCATCAATCATATTACTATGGCAGCTATAGGCTATAAGCTATATATGTATGTGTTTCTTTGCGTCTCTCTCTCACTGCTCTCTCTCTCTCTCTCTGTGTGTGTGTGTGTGTGTGTGTGTTTGTGTGCTTACTAGTTTAATTTGGAATTACGCTTTTACATATATTACGGGACAATACGAGTACAAAACAATGTTGAAAACAACTACACATAGACATATGCATGTTAATATGTTGTATATACATATTTGAATGCATTTGAACGTGACGTACAAAAACAAACATTTAACATTTATCTAAGGCGCTCGCGCAGAATTGCTCTCTGAATTTACATAAAAGACAATGGTTTCGAACACGGCAATTCGAGTTCGAATTCGGGCTTGATTTGTATATATTTTTGTATATTGCATATATATTTATATGTGTGTATGTGTTGGGCTGGAGGGGTATAGTAAAAAAAAATATGCTTTTTTTTTTAATGCTATTTTCTATACAATTTTATGCTTTTTTTTTTTGTTTTTTTTTTTGTTTTTGTGATGTTGTTTTAGCGTATGTTATTGTTGTTTTTGTGTTTTTGTGTTTTGTCAATTTCTAGTTTTATCTATGTTAGCGCACACATGCACAAGGAAGCACACACACGCGCACACTCACACACACACACACACACACACACACACTAAGAACGTTGCGTGTAAATTTATGAAATGTTTTTTTTGTTGTTTTTTTTTGTTTTGCTGCTTTTAGGCGCGTTACATAAAAAATTTCGTTGCTACTTAAAAACTAATTTTGCACTTAAATATATATATATATATGTGTGTATATATATTTATTTATAGTATATATGTTGTGTGTGTGGGTGTGTGTCTGTGTGTGTATTTACCTATGCATGGGCATGTGTGTGTGTGTGTGTGTGTGTGTGTTATATATATATAAATTACAAGTGTTAAATTACATGTTTTTAACAATGTTTTTTTTTTGTTATGCTTTGTTTTTTCTTTAATTCTCTATTATTGTTTTCCGCGTGTGTGCACTACACACACACACACACACACACACACACACACACGCACACGCACGCAATCTGTGTATGCACGTTAACTAAATCATAATGTAAAATCTAATTGGATGCTCTCTTGTTTTTGTTTCTCGTTTTTGCGCTTAATAGTTTTAAATTAGTTAACAAGTATCAAAAAAAAAAAAAAAAACTGATTGTTCTTCTGTATCATATAGAATAAGAACCTTAACGCCTATATAGATCGATAATCAATATTACAATGCATGGGGTGTTGTATCAATATAATAATAAGAATAATAATAATGTTATATTAATATTGTTAAAAAAAAAAAAAAAACTATATATATATCTATATATATTTTTTTATTGTTTGTTTGTTTGTTTGTTTTTTGTTGTTGTTATAACCAAAGGAAATATGCCTTTTCTTTTTGTTTGTTAATGTGTTGTTGTTGTTGTTGTCTCTGTGTGTATGTGTGTGCGTGCGTGTGTGTGCTACACTCTTTAGAAAATACAGACACACTTGCATACACTACTACATATGTACATCAGTGTATTGTTTTTGTATACTCTCTAATTGCATGTACACTTAATGCATTCCTATGTTTTTTTTGTAAATTGTAGTTGTAAACGTAATTATAATTACTTCGAACATTGCTTATGTTTTTTAACAATTGTTGTTACATTGTCGTTGTTGTGTGTTGCTTTTGTTGTTGCTCGTCCAATATGAATTGTGATTGTTTTTAAAGTTGCTTTTAGTTGCTTTTTGTTGTCGCTGGTGTTGTTGTTGCCGTGTGCCAGCCAAGCCTTGCTGCTGTTGTCAACGCCCCGATTCTTGGTATTTTTTTGTTTTTTTTTTTTTTGTTTTAAAATATTGCTGTTTTATCTTTATATGCTGCTACCGTTAGTTTTGCTCATGTATTTCTCATGTTGCTGTTGTTGTTGTTGCTGTTGCTGTTGTTGGTGCTGCTGCTGCAACTGTTGGTGTAGTTATGCTGCTACCGTTGTTCATGTATTTATTCCTTGATGTTGTTGTATTTATGCTGCTACCGATGTTCATGTATTTTTGCTGCGCTGCTGCTGCTGCTGCGCTGCTGCTGCTGCTGCTGCCAAACTTATTCACGATGCCTTCTGTGATGCGAACGCCGCTTGTGCGCGTGCGACCTGGTGGCAACGCTGCTCGATTTGGAGGAGTTGGTTTTGGTTTTGGTGTTGGTTGTGGACGACGCAGCCGTCGTGGCCGTTACCTACAGCGTCTCCTCAAAGGCAGCCATGAGATCGCTCTGCATGTTCATATCAATTTGGCCGGCCATCTGTGCATAATAACAATAATAATAATAATAATATAATATAATATATTATATATAAATATATGTTATATAACATAACTAACATGTTATAAATTCGATTTCAAAACTGTTTGCTTCAATTGTTGAGCGTTCAATGTGACTGCAATTGCTGCAGTTAACAGCAAACTCAAAATATAATTTTAAGTAAATGTTAACTGCATTTGCTGCAGTTAACAGCAAACTCAAAATATAATTTTAAGTCAATGTTAACCGCAACAGTATCGATACCTGCTACTTTGGGGCTGGGGCCGTTGATCGTTGCCATTGTGACCTTAATTCTGTCACAACAGCAGATTAAACGCTCAGCTCTCTGTTAACTCTTTGTTGTTTTTATAGACTTGTATTATTATATATATATATTATGTTATTGTCATGAAATGTGCAACGTATCAAAGGAGACATATCACAATTTAAAAATTATACATGTTTCTGATCAGTATCAACAAAGCCATGTGTCCGTTTGTCCGTTTGCCCTGAAACGCATCATAGGTTCTTTGTTTTTCGAGATACCTTCCTTCACCAAACATGGCATACAGAAAGAAGAAGAAAATCGGACCACTATCTCATATAGCTCTAAAAGCAAGAAATAAGTTAACTCAGCAATTGACCAGCTTATCTCAGAAATGTCTACAAGTGTATTCAAAGTTCGGCTAGCCGAAGTTAGCTGTTATTTGTCTTTCGATTTAGTTTTGTTTATTTACCGCCTCGCGTCTGCGTCTCTCCTGTTCGGCTCGCCGCTGTTCCGCACGTTTTGCAGCCGCACGATCCTGCGGCGATTGCTGTGCCGGCGAATTCTGTCCCTGACCCGGCGATGCTTTAATGTCATCCATACGTGATATCTGCGGCTGTGCATCGTGCACGCTTTTCCTGAGAAACAAACAAACGGTCGGTGTTAGGCAACAGCTCTCTCTCTCTCGCTCTCTATCGCTCTGTCGCTCTCGCTTGACCACTTACCGTCCGCTTTCCATGGCGCCCAGTGGCGAGGAAGCCAGCACCACAGCGTTGGCCGCTGCAGTTGCTTGTGCCGCTGCAGCTGCTGCTGCTGCCGACGCATGCTGCGACTGGGCATTGCTGGCCGCCTGGTGGCCATTGCCGGGCGCAGGGCCACCAATTATACCGGTACCACCAATGCCCACACTGCTGCCGCTGCCGCCGCCGCCAGTGCTGCCGCTGCCGCCGCCGCTGTTCGAGCCGCTGGTAGCAATGTTGCCGCCTAGGCTGCTGTTGCTGTTGCTGCTGGCAGCGCCGCTGCCGCTGCCGACGCCGCCGCCGCCGCCGCCGCTGTTGCTATTACTGCCGGCATTGACCAGCGGGCCGCCACTGGCGCTGCCGCTGCCGCCGCTATTGGCGCCGCCGCCGCTGCTGCCACCAACAGCGCCGCAGCTGCCGCTGCCAGCGCTGCCAGGTCCATTGCTATTGGCCGAGTTGCTGCTGTTGTTGCCGCCGCTGCCGCTGCCGCTGCCGATGCCGATGACGCTGCCGCTGCCGATGCGTGTGGCATCTGTGGCGCTGCTGCCACGGTCGCGATCGCCGCTGCTCTGCGACGCAGACTGACCGCCAGCATTGATGTTGCTGCTGTTGCTGCTGCTGCCGTTGTTGTTGTTGTTGTTGTTGTTGTTGCCGCTGCTACTATTATGGTTGTTGTTGCTGTTGTTGTTGTTGCTGCTGTTGTTGTTGTTGTTGTTGTTGCTGCTGCTGTTACTGTTGCTGCCGGCACTGATTGGATTAACAGTTACTGCGTTGGCGGCAGCAGCGGCAGCAACAGCTGCCGCCGCCGCAGCAGCCGCTTGCGTTGCGGCCACCGCCGAGGCAGCAGCCGCAGCAGCAGCAGCAGCGGATGAGGCCGCTGATGAGGATGAGGATGAGGAGGATTTATGATGCTTGCGCTGCTGCTCCTTTTCGGCAGCCTCCTTCTGGTGCTTCTTCTCCTTCTCGGCTGCCTCGAGCAGCTTGAGGCGATCGCGTTCTTTGGCTTTGTTGCGGAATTGCTGAAACGAGTCCATGGCCGGCTTGGCCTTGCTCGATGTTGTCGCCGTATTCTGCGGCGAACTGGCCGATGCCAGCGACGACCACGAGCTGGCATTCTTCAGATTCTGCTCGACAGCGCTCTTGAACACCTGATAGCCAGCGTGAGCATTGCCGCCGTGCAGCTTTAGATCGGAGGGCGATTGCTGCGGCGGCAGCACCTTTTGATGATGATGATGCTGCTGCTGCTGCTGCTGCTGCAGTTGCTGTTGCAGCTGTTGCTTGTCGGGCGGACTTGGCATCATCGACTCAATGGGCTTCGGTATGATTAACATTTTGTTGGCCGCCTGATTGCCCTGCTGCTGCTGGGCGAGCTGCTGCTGCTGCTGTTGAAGATGATGTTGCTGCTGCTGCTGCTGTTGATGATGATGTTGCTGTTGCTGTTGCTGCAGCTGCTGTTGTTGCAATTGCTGTTGCAGCTGTTGTTGCTGTTGCTGCAACTGTTGTTGCTGCTGTTGCTGCTGCTGATCACCATCTTTGAGCTTGCCGCTGCCCGCACTGCCCATCATGGCCCCCATGGGCATCACATGGTCCAGCAGGCCAGATGAAGCCATATTGAGATTATCAAAGCCCGGCATGCCGCTAAAGTCGGCAACATTGTAGCCATTCTTGTGTGCCTGCTGCTGTTGTTGCTGTTGCTGTTGCGTTTGATGGCCGTGTTGCCCGTGTAGCAGTTGCTGCGTCTTCGGCTGATAGAGAGCTGTTGCCATGTCCAGATTGAAAATGCTGTTGTTCAGCATATGGTTGCCATTCATGCCAGCCACATTCTCCACGCCCTTTAACAGCTCCGCCATGCAGTCTACGGGATGCCGCTGTTGCTGCTGCTGCTGCTGTTGCTGCTGCTGCTGTTGTTGCTGTTGCTGCTGCTGTTGCTGCATTCCAAACTGTTGCTGCTGCATCATATGCGCCTGGTGGGCCATTAAAAAGTTGTCCGTCAGCGACGATTTGCCCGTGGAGCTGGCGCTAAACTCAAGCGAGGCCAGCGACTGCTCCACGGGATCATCGAATTGCGGTATTTGCTTGAGGCCAGCGGCCAGCGAGGCGCTCGACAAAGCATCATTATGGCCCACGCCCACGCCCATGCCCGCGCCCATGCCCACGCCCACGCCCATGCCCAGTGTGCCCGTGTTGTTGTTGTTGTTGTTGTTGCTGCTGTTGTTGTTGTTGTTGTTGCCGGCAGCGCCAGTGGAGGCAAGCGCAGCGGTCAGCGCCGCATGATGATCGGCCAGCTCGGGCTGCTTATGCAAATTGCTGGCAATGCGTATGCCGCCGATGCCGTCCGGCTGTGCAGCGCCCGCTGCTGCCGCTGCTCCGCCATTGCCGGGAGCGCTGCGCAACAGTTCGTAAACGCCGGCTGCGCCCGTTGCAAGTCCGTTCTTATGATGGCCAGACGCATGCAACATATTGGCGGCGCCACCGCCAGCATAAACGCCGCCGCCGCCGCCACCCGGCGCTGTCTTGTTGTTGTTGTTCAACATGAGGTTAGCTGCACGTATACGTATTCAAAAAGGGATGGGGGGTGGGGAGGAGGAGTGGGACAAGAGCGGGAAAAGAACAGTTAATTAGTTCAGTTAGTCACAACAAATCGTTTGTACTCACTCATTTGTGCAGCTGACGCATTGGCGGCGCCCACAGAGGACAGCATATGATCCACCTGATCCAGCTGGCGCTGCAATTCCGATTGCATTTGCTGCACCGTCGGCCCCGATGGCAGATTGCCGAGCAAGCTGCCAGCCAGGCTGGGATTATTATTTACCTGCTGCATTGCCGCCAACGGAGTCAAGATCGGGTAGTACAATGGAGCAGATAGAGAGAGGGTAACGCACACTGATTAGGTCAAATGTATATATGTACATATATTATGTTTGAGACGCACTCGAATTTTATTTGCAATTCATTAAACCATATTCGCAAATTGTATTCTTTGTCTTTTCCGGATTTTCTTCACTTCTTTTAGTTATTTTTCTTTCTTTTCTCTTATCCACGTTCCCAATAAGTTCAATGCTCAATAGCGAAACATTTGTCAACTGTCAAGGAAATTGTATTTTGTAAAATATGGCAACGCCACCATTAAAAATACCAATTAGCTGGCAACACTATATAACACTTGACAGGTTGGCTAAGCTATTATGTGAATTCCATTTACAACACTGACAATTATGTGCATTGCATTAACAACGCTGCCAAATATTTACCTTGAAGCTAAACTTCCTGTCAAATTATGTGCATTGCATTTACAGCACAACGAGTTATTTACCTTGAAGATAAACTTCCTGTCAAATTATGTGCATTGCATTTACAACACTGCCAATTATGTACAGTGCATTTACAACACTGCCAAATTTTATCTTGAAACTAAACTTCATGTCAAATTATTGGCATTGCATTTACAACACTGCGTGTTCTTTACCTTGAAGCTAAACTTCCTGTCAAATAATGTGCATTGCATTTACAACACTGCCAATTATGTGCACTGCATTTACAACAGTACGAGGTTTTTACCTTGAAGCTAAACTTCCTGTCAAATTATGTGCATTGCATTTACAGCACAACGAGTTATTTACCTTGAAGCTAAACTTCCTGTCAAATTATGTGCATTGCATTTACAGCAGAACGAGTTATTTACCTTGAAGCTAAACTTACTGTCAAATTATGTGCATTGCATTTACAACACTGCCAATTATGTGCACTGCATTTAGAACAGTACGAGGTTTTTACCTTGAAGCTAAACTTCCTGTCAAATTATGAGCATTGCATTTACAGCACTAGCAAATATTTACCTTGAAGCTAAACTACCTATCAAATTTTAACCAGCAACTTATGGGGCAAAAAACCTTTAAAAAAAAGTTTCAGCGAGTTTTAGCAACATTTCAATTTCAACTTGGAACTATTATTGAACAAATATAATTAGCAGCTAGTTATTTTTTCCACATCAAATATTTCGTTAGAAATCATGAAATATCAATTTCACTTTCAATAGGGAAAAACTGGATTGACAAATGCGAATTGCTTGCAAATTAAAATCAATACCGAAATCTGCTGAAAGGGGAAACAAACCAAGACTCAACTACTTTATATGATCTAGAGTTATGAGAAGATAATCTGACACTCTGAATGGACTGGGAGAGATTCCGCTTGGCACTCTCCTACTATAGCAAAACATATATAATTTGTATGGAATATCGAATGGTAGACAACATGTTAATTACGTTAAGGGCTGCGGACCAAGAGAAACCATATATATTGTTTTGTACTGGGTGCCCTTCGAAAGAATTTGTTCTTTCAGGCTCGAACCGGTTCGGCTTCAAACCAGCTTGCAGTCCCTTTTACAATGAGGCGCATGAGATGGTCGCACATGAGATGCCAGTCAATCGACTGATGTTTGTGTTTTGTGTTAAGAGGCTTTTGGTTTTGTTTTCATATATGTATGTATATGTTGGCTTTTATACCGGAACCCAAGGTTGAGAAATATTGTTGGACTTCTTGCATTGTGGAGCTACTACTTACATTGCTTCCATTTGAATCACGTGATTTTTTCTTGCGTGGTGGCCGATCGTCGGCATCGCCTGAAAGATTACGAAATCAAATATTAGAAAATTTAATAAAGACAACATTTTCATTTTTTTTCTTTTTGTTCGATTCAAGTGAGGAAAGTTGGTTTAGTTAGAGCACCAAAAAAACCAAAAAAAAAAAAAAAAAAAGAAGGTGATTGTGAGTGTTAAAAGAAATAAATCAAAAAGCATGGAACGCTACGGGAAAATATTAATTGCAAATTAATTTGATATGTGTGTGTGTGTGTGCGGGTTGGGGGGAGGGACTTATATGTAAAGGATATTTATATAGTATATAAAAGAGTGTGTGTGTGTGTGTGTGTGCGTGTGGATGTGTTTTGTGTGAAAGAAAAATACCTCGATACAATTGTGGAACGCTGAAACCAATGTGAAGCAATTGTTGTACCCGGTTGCGGGGTGAGGCGGAGGGTTCCGGCATATTAGAGGGCTGCCTCATATCTCTGCCTTGCTCTCGCCCTCTTTATCTCGCTCTCGCTCTCCCGCTCAGTTTTTCTCCTCTCTCTCTCCCTGCTTCTTCTCTCTCTCTCTCTTTCACACATTCTCTCCCTCTTTCTCTTTTTCTCTCTCTCTCTCTGTCTCTCTGCCTGTCTCTCCCACTCCTAAAGTCTGTAAGTAAGAAAAACTGCACGAGAAAAACGGAGGGGGAGGGGGGAAGGGGGGCGAGGGGGAGAAAAAACAACCAAAGAGCGCACCAACCAACCTGCTCTTTATATATATATAATTATTATTATTGTTATTATTATTTTGCTCGAATTTTTTTTTTTTTTTGAATTTATCGCCATTTTTGATTTATGTTTTATGGGTTTTACTTTTGTTTATGTGCCATTTATTTGGTTATAGTTCGCAAGCAAATTTTTTTTTTTGTTTTTTTTTGTTATTCTTTTTTTTTTTTTTTGATTTTCTTTTGTGCAATCGAATCGGGGCCACAAAGAGAATATAGAAAGAAAATGTTGTGGAAAGAATGCAGAAAGACAAGTTGTTCGTTTTTTTTTTTTTGTTTCTTTTTAATAAACTTTTTCTTTGTTGTTTGTTGTTGTTGTTGTTGTATTCATTGCCTTTTTTTGTGCGCTGCATTTTGTTGTTGTTGTTTTTTTCATCTTCTTCTCTTCTCGTTACTTAAACATATTATTTATTGTTTGTTGTTGTTGCTGTTTTCATATATATATATATATATATATATATATATATATTAAATATTATTATTTTTACTACAAATATTTTTAGATATAGGTATAATGTGTGTGTGTGTGCGTGTGTGTGAATGTGTCAAACCTTCGTATAATTTATAATGCGTCTTTATGCTAAGTGTATGCATGTGTCTGTGTGCGTGTGCGTGTGTGTGTGTGTGTGTGCGTTTGTTGTTGTTGTTGTATTTTTCCTGCCTAGCGTCGCCTTTAACTAAGATTTTTACTAAGTTATTTTTTTTTTTTTTGCTTTGTTGTTATGTTATTTTATATTTGTTTTTATAATTTGGCTTTGCGTTCGTGTGTGTGTGTGTGTGTGCGTCAAAAAATAACTAACTTTTCCGCTGCTTTTGTTGAAACCAAAAATGCATTTTGTATTTTGTTTTTTTTTTTTTTTAATTATTTTTTAAGTTTTTTTTTATTTTTACAAGACTTTGAGCGTGTTTACATGTGTTTAAGTGTGTGTGTGTGTGTGTGTGTGTGAGTTTCTCATTTCTCTCTCTCTCTCTCTCTCTCGCTCTCTCGCTCTCTCGCTCTCTTCACATATTCGTGTTTCGTTTTGTTGTTGTTTTAGTCTTCTGCTTTTAACTAAAGATCTAAAGAAAACTGCTTTTAATGCTTGGGCAATTTTTAGGAAGGGTTTTAAACAAAACCAAAATGAACAAAAAATAAAAAACAAAAAATTGTTGCTTTCAAAAATTGTTTGCGCATTTTTTCGGCATTTTTGGAATAATTGTTGTGTGTTTTTTAAGGTAATAGAAAAAAAAAAACAGCAAATGTTCAAAAAGAAAAGCATCAAAAATTGTTCACAAATTTGTGTGTGTGTGTGTGTTGGTGTGTGTGTGTGTGTGTGTTGTCTGTCAGCAAAATACAAAGCACACGCTCAAAAAGAAAAAAAAAAGTTAACAAAAAAAAGTCGATTTAAATAATTTTGCTCGCTTTTTTCTCAAATGTTGATTTGTTGTTGCTGTTGTTGTGTTTAAAATAATGTTGAAACATGTTGTTGT